CGAGCAGCTCTGGGAGCGGCGCGCCCCATAAATTGAGGCGGGCATACACAAAGACCACTGCACAAGCACAGCAAACATACCCCTCCCACGCGTTCAAAAGTTCCGTGCGGCTGTTGGCCACAACGTGCAAATACTCTTCCTCGAGAGCATTCCATGGTAAATTCTTGCCTTGTCGCAGTGTTTCCTGCAACTGAGTTCCGTTCGTCGACAAAAACTGGCGTACATAATCAGTCCACCTCGTCCTGGGTTTGCTCCGGCGCCCTGGGCCGTCAGGTATCCATCGCATGACAAGTGCTGGCCACGAGCCAGGAACGCACATAGTATGTGCGTTCCTGGCCAGGGCTGGCCACGAGCCAGGAACGCACATAGTATGTGCCACATACAAGACATATATCTATCTATTACTCCCAACCATTCGGATAACAGCGAACGTACTCATTGCCCGCTCCAAGGTGAGTTTGAACAACACGCCCAGACCCTCTCAATCCTCCATGCTCCAGCTTCGAGAGCCCCACCACTCTTCGAACCATCTTCTGCTTGTGTCATGCCCAGAGAAGCCGTGCCGTACATAGCTGTAGGAGTGATCACAGATTCGGACATTCTCAGCCGAAGGCGCAATGATATTGGTAGGTGCCTGCTTGTTCACGTGGAAGCGACCCCACGCGAAGTCAAATCTGCGGTCGAGGTGAGAGTCCGCGCGGCCGGTCAGATTGCTGCTGAACTTCCAGCCGAGGTACTTGTGGAAGTCACGGCATGTCATGACAGGAAACGGCATAGGCCGCACGACACCACCATCATAACTTCAGCGTGTGATACCTTCAGATTGTTTGTGACAGCCCTCGTCTTGGTCGCACCAGGCTGGGGCCACGATCTCCCAGCTCCGAGAACAGAGTGGCGAGCATCGGCAGTGCCTCGTTTGATAGCCTTGCGCACAGCAACACATCGCCCGCTTACCTAATGTTGCTCAGGATCTCGCCGGGCCCAACACGCAAGCCACAGTTTGGGTGAAGTCGGGCCTGTCCCTTTACAGGAGGAGTATTCAAAAATAGTTATACAACATAGTTTGGGGACGATGTTCTATCATTTTCTGACTATGGACATTGTCTGAAAACGTTTCATCTTTCGTTCAAAAGCCGCCTGGAGGAGGATCTGCCCGACTTAAGATTTGGGCATTGCAACTTGAAGGCACGCACCGCCTGATTCAGCCCAGCGTTGAGCAACAAAGAGGACAGCACATCGCCTCGTTTTGACGCCGCGGGCAATGCCAAGCATTTTGCAGTCCTGCACCAGGCCTGTCGGGTTCGCATACACGTTTGCTAACAAACGCAAGTTGTGGTGAGGAGCGTTCTGCTCTCGCAAAGCGGCGAACACCATTCGATGTCCGATCCGAGGGAAAGCTTTGCTCCAGTAAACGTTCCCATCCCAGGCGTCCTCTGTTTCAACCCCCTCCTGGCCCCAAAATCTTTCCCAGTCCAAACGCTTTCTGCGTACATTTTTCCTTGCCCCAGAATCCGTCCTAGCCCGAGCGCTTTCTGAGTCAAACCATTCCTCGCACCATACACCATAATCCCTCCAGCCTCAGCGGCTTCTGATTATAATCCTTCCCGGCCCAAGAACTCCCCCCATGCCATGCCAATCGGGTTTTTTGTTTTCCACAATCCGTCCTAGCCCAAAAGTCCTGCCCAGCCCAAACGTCGTCTGTTCAAAAAGCGTTATGACCACAACATTTTTTCCCAACCCAAGCATTTTCTGTGTGAAACCCTTCTGGCTCCAGAATCCGCCCCAGACTGGTATTCTGGCGTTTGCAGCTCTGCCTGGTCACAACATAATTCCCAGCCTAAGCGCCCTCTGTGCAAATTTGTCCTAATCACAAAGCCCCTCCCAGCCCCAGCGTCTTGCGCTTAGAGCCCTTGATGACGCCAGAACCCTTTCGAGCTCAAGCGCTCTCTGAGTAAGATCCGCCCGAACCCCAAAGCCTTTCCCAGCCCGAACGCTTTCTGTGGTGTCAGGGCCCCATAGCCCTTTCCTGCCCAAGTGCCTTCTTTGCGAGTTCCTGCCTGGCCCCCAAATCCTTTCTAGCCCAAGCGCGTTCGGTCTTAAGCCCCTCCCAGCCGCCTGAAACCCTCCGGTATACATGTCTGCTTCTGTTCACTCCAGAATCTGCCCCAGCCCAACGTTGTAATGTTTCAAATCATTCGTAACTCGAGAACCCTTCCCAGCCAACGCGCTTTCTCTTTACAGTCTTTCCTGCCCCCCAATCCTCCCCAGCCCAAGTATTTTCTCACCGCAATCTTCCCGGGCCCGAGCATTTTTTTTGAGCCCCAGCGCGTTCTATTTCAACTTCTTCCTGGCCCCAGGACCCTTTCCATCCCGACCACTTTCTGTTTCAAATCCTTCCTGGCCCCGGAATATTTCCCGGTCCAAGCGCTGTCTGTGAAATTGTTCTTTCCCAAGAGTCCGTCCTGGCCCGGGCGTGTTCTGAGTAGCATTCCCCTGGCCCTATCATTGGTTTTGTTGTTTTAAAGCGCTTTCTGAATCTAATATTTCCCAACCCCAGAACCCTCCCCAAGCCGAGCGCGTTCTCTTGAAAACCTCGCCTGGCCCAAGAACCCTCCACAGCCCGGGCGCTTTCTGTGTAGACAATCCTTCCTGGCGCAACCATCCGTCACAGCCCAATCGTTTCCTGTGCGACATCCTTCCTGGCCCCAGAGTCCGCCCCAGCCCAGTTGTCGTGTGTTTAATACCTTGCCACGACATCCTTCCCAGCCCGAGCGACCTTTGTGCGAAATGTGTCCATCCCAAACCCTGCATGGCCCGACCGTCTTGCGTTTACAGCCGTCGCCAACGCCAGAATCCGTTCCAGCCCAAAGGGTTTTTTGAAACAACATCCGCCCAAGCCCCATAATCCGTTCCATCCCATGCTTGTTTTCTATCTTGCATACTTCTTAGCTCCAATGTTTTCCAAACCCATGCGCATTCTGCGCGGCGTCCTCCCTGGCCCCGAGATCCTTCCCAGCCCGAGCGCTTCCATTTCGAAATCCCCCCTAGCCTCAGAATCCTTGGTAGCCCCACGTTTTTTCCACGCAAAGCCCCCTCTGGCCTCCAGCCCAAGAGCCTTCTATGTTAAACCCCTACTGGCTCTCAAATCCGCCCCAGCCCAAGCGTTTTCTGTCGTCAATCCGTCCTGACCCCAGGCCACGCGCTTTCTGTTCACAATGTTCCACGGCTCCAGATTCCACCCCAGCCCCGGCGCGTTCTGTTCAACATGTTTCTTGGCCCCAGAATCCTTCCCAGCCCAGGCGTTTTCTGTTCCAAATCCTTCTTGACCCCCCAAGCCTCCTCAGTCAAAGTGTTTTCTAGTCGCGCTCCTTCCTAGCCGCGAAATCCTTCCAAGCCCATCGGGTTTCTGTTCAAGCCCGTCCTAGCCCAAAACATCCTGCCCAGCCCGGGCTTTGTCTTTGAAAAAATGATACCAGAGAAAAGCCCCAATCATAATCTTTTTATGGCTATAGGGCTATATGGGCTGTAGGGCTATATGGGCTATAGGGGTACTGGGCTATAGGGTAATAGAGCTACAGGGCTATAGGGTTATAGGGTATAGGGCTGTAGAGCTATAGGGCTGTACGGCTATAAGGCTGTAGGGCTACTGAGCTATAGGGCTATAGGGCTATAAAGTTGTAGGGCTATAGTGGTATCGGGCTATAGGGCTATAGGGCACCCCCGGGCACCCATGCACCCCCGGGCACCCATGCACCCCCGGGCACGCACGGGCACCTGGGCACCCCCAGGCACCCGGGCACCCGGGCACCCCCGGGCACCCAGGCACCCGGGCGTGCAGCGAAAATCGGCGGCAAACCTAACCCAACCATATGAATCCGCTAGGACCCCTACAGAGGCAAGCTCTGATTGGGGAATCTCCCCCAGCCCCAAATTCCTCCGCGGCCCCAGAGCATTCTGGTTAACGTTGTTCCTAGTCCGAAAATTCTTCCCAGCCAAACCCCAATTTCCTTACCAGCCCAAGCGTTCTCTGATGATTATCCTTCCTCTGCCTAAAAGCCATCCCAACCAGAGCGCCTTCTCTTGAACATCTTTCCTGGCTTCAAAATCCCCCTCAGTCGGGTGTTCCTTGCCCAGAATCGTTCTTCGCCGAAGTGCTCCCCTAAACTACGTCGTCTCTTTAAAATCCACCCTGGCACCCAGATCCGTTCCAGCCCGAGGGCCAGAATCCGCCCGGCCGAAGCGTTTTCTGTTGTTGTCAAATCCTTCTGAAACCCGATTATTCCCGTCCCATTTTCTTGTTTGAAACATTCTCCCCCGTCCCAGAATCCACCCAAACTAAAGCGCTCTCAAGTTCAAACCCGTCTTGCCTTCACCCAGGATTCTTCGCATCCCGAGGGCTTTCTCATTAGAATATGTTCTTAGCCCCAGATACTTTCATCCAACCAAAGCGTTTTCCGTGTAAAAAGACAGTCCCGGCTCCCAAATCCTTCCCAGCCCAATGGTTTTCTGTTTAAATCCGTCCCAGTTCCTTTCGAGCCCCAAAATCCATTCCAGCCCAATCCGTAGCCATTTTGGCGCAAGAAACCGTCACACCGTGGCTTCAGCTTGCAACGTAGCCAATGGGTTGGCCCAAGGCAGCCGCCAGTCGACAGGAGTTTTTTTTTCCTTGCAGGAATTTTGGTTTTCCTTCCGCACCATCACGCTTACCACCCCTGTGTGTCCGCAGTTCGCTGCAATGCCGCGGAGGGGCATGAAGAAGGCTCATCGAGTTGAGGGCCGCCGATCCAGGAACCGTCGTGGTCCACCATCGCCAAGTCCGGCTCCCTGCCCTGCCCCCTGCATGTCGGCGACCCGTGGCAGTCCATCGAGATGCGTTACCAGCCCTTCGAGAACTAGTTCCAGCCGCAGCCGCACAGCTTCGTTATCCCCTGTACCTTCCAAGCCACCGAGCTGAATTCTCTGATCGGTAAGATCAAGAAACCGGCCAGCGCATTGGCAACATGGAGCAGGCCTTCGAGATGGAAAAGGACGCCATACGCGCCACCATGTATACGCACGACCAGAATTATCAGAACCCCAACGCCCGCCTCGCAGAGATCGAGCACGGCACCGCCGCCACCATCTCTCATGCTGTCCAAGAGGCCGACGACGCTCGGATTGCAAGCGCCACGCAGCAGCTGGAGTCCATCGCTGAGCTCACAAGAGTACCCCTACTCATCTTTAGGCTTCTACACGACACGTCTCGCGCGCGCGCCTGAGTCCAGGCAGGCGGCTATGCAGCATGCCCACCGTGTCGTCATTGTTGGCTTTCCTCGAAAGATGACGCAAACATTCCTCAAGCGGGCCGCTGACATGTGCATCATGGCTGGCACCCCGCGAGACCGACTTCGTCTAATTGTTCGTACCTGCGACATGACCAAGAATATCATCCTCGATTTTGCCGGCTCGATCAAGGTTTCCGACTTCCCCGGCTCGATCCACGCCCAAGTTCCGATGTTTCCCCCGGCCCGATCTAACCCCCAGCATCTGATCATGCTACGCGCCAAGTTGGACCTCGAACCAGGAACTCGCATGCTCTTCCTCGCCAGGGGGACAATTCGTGGTATGAGAGCCACAGCGGCGCAGCAAGTTGGTAAAGAAATGGGGCCAATGGATTGGGAGGAGATGTATGTGCACGTCGTACTCTGGAGGACCCAGCTGTGCCACCGCGAGCTTGCCTCAAATGAAGCTGAACAGCCTATGGTCGCCATCTCTTTTCCCCCTGGAAGTCTGCAGAATTTCATGCCAGCGCGTCTCCCCTCCTCCCGCGTCTCTTCAGGAAGGGCTTGGCCATCTGAACGCTTCGCAGCCTCTTTATGGGGGGGGCTGCGAATTGCCTCGCGCCATGGGCGCAGCGATTGTGACACCCCCGACAATGTGTCCCCCAGCTGCGAGCCTCAGAGTCTCTCGGCTTAATCTCTCTAGCGAATTTGTGCGCTCGGGCCTGGTGGCCTGTTGGTCTGGAGATGTGCCTCCTTCTCCCCCGTGCGCCCTCGGGGGTGCTCCGCGCCGTAGTGATCCTGGTGACCCGAGCCCTGCGCCTCCGTCTGTTGCTCCGATCTGGGTCCGTCCGTTTCTCCCTTCCCTTCAGATGTAAGCCGGTTCTTGGAATACGTCTGCCGTCTTTGCCGCTGTTCAGGACCGAAGTACGAAAGCAGCCCTTCGCTACGCTCGTTTCCCTGAAGCTCGCGAAGCAGGTCGCGATATTGTGTGCTCGAGAAACCCACGGACCGATTGCGGATATCTATGAGCTCGTCGAGAGTTTCGATTGTTTTAGATCGCTCATTTTCTGTTCCCTACGCATACCAATGCCGGTTGCGTCAGAACCAGTATTCATCTTGGTTTCGCCGGCCTCGTCACCTCCATCTCGCGCTCCCATGCCGTCGGTGGTCGCGTCCTCAAGTCCCACCACCTCTCAGGGACCTTGGGAACCTGTGCATCATTGACGCACGCATGCCCAGCGCGAGTGACCCCACGAGCACAGATGCCAACGCCTTGCTTGAAATTCATCGCGCCCTCCCCAACCCTGCTGAATGCGTCAATGTGCTGATAGAGTATTGCAAAGTTGCGCTCTCCCCCGACGGGCGGCTCCGGTCTGATGCCAGTGGGTGGTCGCCTGGAGATGATAGTCATGCGCTCTTGTTTCATAGGCTCTGTGGGTCGCGGTTTGAATTTTACCCATGCGATGACAAGAGGAGGGAAGTCAGCGACGCTACTACTACTGACACCTCAAGGCTTGGCCGCGCGTACATCGCGATACCATCAGCCACGGTCATTGGCTTCAGTATTGGAAGCCAAGTGCTTGGGCACGCCTGACGAGTCAGACGAGGACTAGTTGTTGGAAAACACGTGGATGATGGAGGAGGACGAGTGGACGCGCATGATCAGGGGGAGGAAGGACAGCTTGCCTGGGGAGGATGGGTTTCGTTACTCGGCCTGGAGGGCCCCTGCTGCTGGCCTGCCGTTGCATGAGTGCTACCGCGCCTAATTCCACAACGATCGCGCTGGCACCCCCGACGACATGAAGCGCAGTCTTCGTGTAGCCCTTCAGAAGATTCGTGAACATGAGGATGGGGAAGGGGTCTATAAGCAGCCTACACTCTTTAGATCCGTCAGTATGACGAACACTGGTGCGAAGCTCACTTCGGCTTCCATTGCGATGGTTTTGACGAGGCACATCGCTAGGCACGGACTCCCCAGCCCTTCTCAGGCATGCTCTCGCGGTCGCGACATGCTCGCCATTGTGGTGAAAACAGAAAGCTTCTTGCTACTCCAGAGTCTTCGCGATCGGCACACTAGTGGGCTTGTCCTGACGGACTTCGAATCTGCCGTCCCCTCCATCGAGATATCCTGGCCCCTGGAGGTGTTAGCTTCCATTGGTGCCCTTCTGGCTATCATTATATGTTTTGGTCCAGTGCCTCTACCTGAATATCGCTGCTCTTATCTACAGATGTGGTCGCACCCCCGGCTCTTTCTTTATCGGCAGAGGTGTTTGCCAAGGGTGCCCAAACTCCATGCTCCTACTTGTCTTGGCAGTTGAACCAGTGTTAGCATGGCTGTAGTCGCGTCTCCCGATGCACCTCACCATGGCGATGGCGTGCACTGACGACCTCTGCTTTGGCTTGTGGTGCCTGTTTGCTGGTATTGGGTTTTTTCCCAGTGTTCGAGTTTGCTTGATCATACTATTGGGCTGGCGTTCAGCTTCCTGGCGTCCGGAGCTTTCTTTGAAAATCCGCCCTGGCGTCAAAATCTAGCCCAGCCAGGGCGTTTTTTGTTTTGACTTCTTCACGGCGTCCAAATCCTCCCCAGCAAGCGGGCACCTCGTTTAAAGTCCGTCCGAACTCCCACCCCAGCCTGGCGGTTTCTTGCGCCCAGACGTCTTCCGCGAAACATCTTCCCTCGCCCCAGAATCTTGCCCACTGCCCAGTCCAAGGGCGTTCTGTCTAGAATCGCGCCTCGCCCAGACATCCTTTCCAGCCAAGGCGTTTTTTCTTTGGCAACACATAAGGAAGAGACGCACCCTGAGCCCCGAACCCTTCCCGGCCCAAGGGCTTTTGCGCAGCGCCCACCCTGGCCCGGAGATCCCCCCGGACAAAGTGGTGTCTTGACAACAAATCCTCCTTGACCCCTGACTCCTTCCCGGCCCACGACGCGTTCTCTATCGGAAATCCGGACTGGCCCCGTGAGCCTTGCTAGAACGGGCGCCCTCTGTTCGCGGCTTTTCCTGGCCCCCAAATCCGTCCTCGCACAAGGGTTTTCTGTGTAATTTGTTGTCCTTCCCCAAAATCAATGCCGGCCCGAGCGTTCTATCAAAAATCTCGCCTAGCCCAAAAGTCATTCCCAGCCAAAGCGTTCCTCATGTTGAAATCTTTCCAAACCCTGGATTCCTTCCCATCCCAACCGTTTCCCGTGCAAAATCCCCCATGGGCCCAAAATTCTTCTCAACCGAAGCGTTTACGGATCAATTTCGCCTGCGCCCTAGAATCCTTACCACCCCAGGGTTTTCTGTTAACAATTTTTCCTGACCCCAGATTCCGTCCCAGCCACAGCGTCTTCGATTTCAAATCTTGTCTGCACGCAGAATTATTCGCAGCCCAAGAGCTTTCTTCTCAGATCCTTCCTGCCCCAAGAATCCTTACCAGCAAAACGTCGCCTGTGGAAACATTGCCCCGATTTCCCTGACCCCAGAATCCTTCCCAATCAACGCGCTTCCTGTTTATCATTCAACCTAGCCCAGAATCGTCCCAAACATCAGAACCCTTCCAAACGTTAGCTGTCTTCTCCTGAACCCAGAATACGCGGTCGACCGCCGTGCGTTGGACACGTCGCGTCTGCAGCATGCCCGCCAGGAATAATTATTTGTTGTGGCGCGTACGGTACGGTTACATCATTGTTTGTTCTGCCAGTATAGGAAACGACGCGTATCGAACTTGCTCTCATTGATTGTAGCGAGAGCGCGTATAGGAAATTGACCCGAACCTACATGGGTCGCATCATCCGTAGTTTATCGTTTTTGCCTCCTGCACTGATCACGCACACGTGTGCCCCAAGGTCGGGGCTCCTTGCTTTATCACGCAGGCGTCTTTGCCCTCGTCGCCACGGCCTTTTTCGAGTGGAGGTCCTTAGTACGGCCCAGGGGAAATCGGAATCATGATTCCATTCGGAAGAGCCGTCATCGTCGTCGCGATCGTCGTCGCATTGCGTTCCCCCTCCTCCTCCTCTTATTCCTCCTCCTCCTCCATTCGCTCCTTTACTCTGCATTCCCTCATCGCCCCTTCCTCCCCGTCCCTGTTCCGCCTTCCCGTCCCTCACCTCCATTTGGCTCCCTCCCCTACTTCCCCCCTCCCCCTCCTTCCCTCGTCGTAATCGCCGCCGCCCTCGTCGTCGCACTCCTTCCTCCCCATTTCCACCGTCGTCCGAGTCGTCGTTCCCGGCGTCGGCATCGCCCCCGCCGACGTCGACGTCGCTATCATCGCCGCCGCAGTCGTCTTCGTCGTCGCAGTCGCCGTCGCCGCCGCCGTAGTGGTCGTGGTCGTGATCGCTGCCATCGTGGTCGTCGTCGCCACCCGTCGTTGTCATCATCGTGTCCGCCGCCGCCGCCTTCGTCGGCGTCGTCCTTCGCCGGCGCTCCCGAGGACGTCGTTGGGCTGCGCGAGGCCCTGAGCACCAGGCTGCCCCGCCGCGGCGTCAGTCCCTCGTCTGCGGCTGCGGCGCCTCCACCCTGCGGCGAGGGCTTGGCCCTCGGCGACATGTACAAGGCGCCCTGTGTGCTCCCTTCGGGCCGACGACGACGATCGTCGACGACGATCGTCACAGGCGGCTGCGGCGACAGCGGCAGAGGCGCCGGCGGCGGCGACGCGGCGCATCGTCGACGGCGACGGCGATCCCAGCCGCCATCGCCGCCACCGCCGTCGTCGTCGTTGTTGTTGTTGGACATTCACTATTCAACCACTATTGCAGAACAATTTGTTGTTGATCCCCCAATCCGGTGACCGTTGTGTGTTTCCCAACCAACCTGTGTTATTGGGTCCTCGTTTTGAAGAGACGGTCCCCGCGTCTCCTCCTCCTCCTCCTCCTCCTCCTCCTCCTCCTCCTCCTCCTCCTCCCTCCTCCCCTCCTCTCATCATCATCATCATCATCATCATCATCATCATCATCATCATCATCATCATCATCAGCATCAGCATCAGCATCAGCATCATCATCATCATCATCACTATCACTATCATCATCATCGTCATCATCATCATCATCATCTTCATCATCATCATCATCTTCATCTTCATCTTCATCTTCATCATCTTCATCTTCATCTTCATTTTCATCTTCATCTTCATCTTCATCTTCATCTTCATCATCGTCGTCATCGTCATCATCAACATCAGCATCATCACCCCCCAGTACAGCGTTTCGTGGCCCCACGGGGAGCGCCACCGAAGGTCCCCGTGGCGCAGTCCACATGCGTCTCCCCCACCCATTACAGCGCTTCGTGGCCCCATAGGGGGCGCCACCGAAGGTCCCCGTGGCGCAATCCGAATGTTCTCCCCCACCCAATACAACGTTTCGTGGCCCCACAGGGAGCTCCACCGAAGGTCCCCGTGGCGCACTCCGCATGCGTCTCCCCCACCCAGTACAGCGTTTCGTGGCGCAGTAGGAGCTGCACCGAAGGTCCCCGTGGCGCAGTCCGCATGCGTCTTCCTCACCCAATACAGCGCTTCGTGGCCCCATAGGGAGCGCCACCGAAGGTCCCCGTGGCGCAGTCCGCATGCGTCCCCCCAACCCAGGACAGCGTGTCGTAGCCCCATATGTGGCTCCACCGAGGGTCCCCGTGGCGCAGTCCGCATGCGTCTCCCTCACCCAATACAGCGTGTCATGGCCCCATATGCAGCGCCACCGAAGGTCCCCGTGGCGCACTCCGCATGCGTCTCCCCCACTCAGTACAGCGCTTCGTGGCCCCATAGGGGGCGCCACCGAAGGCCCCCGTGGCGCAGTCCGCATGCGCCCCCGTCACCCATTACAGCGCTTCGTGGCCCCAAAAGGAGCGCCAGCGTTTCGTGGCCCCATACGGAGCTCCACCGAAGGTCCCCGTGGCGCAGTCCGCATGCGTCTCCCTCACCCAGTACAGCGCTTCGTGGCCCCATATGCAGCGCCACCGAAGGTCCCCGTGGCGCACTCCGCATGCGTCTCCCCCACTCAGTACAGCGCTTCGTGGCCCCATAGGGGCTCCACCGAAGGTCCCCGTGGAGCAGTGCGCATGCGTCTTCCTCACTCAATACAGCGTGTCGTGGCCCCATAGGGAGCGCCACCGAAGGCCCCCGTGTCGCAATCCGCATGCGTCCCCCCTACCCAGTACAGCGTTTCGTGGCCCCATATGGGGCCCCACCGGAGGTCCCCATGGCGCAGTCCGCATGCGTCTCCCTCACCCATTACAGCGTTTCGTGGCCCCGTAGGGAGCTCCACCGAAGGTCCCCGTGGCGCAGTTCGCATGCGTCTCCCCCGCCCAGTACAGCGCGTCGTGGCCCCATAGGGCGCGCCACCGAAGGTCCCCGTGGCGCAGTCCGCATGCGCCTCCCCCACCCAGTACACCTCCGTCGGAGGCAGTCGGAGTTCCTCGCCTTGCTCGCCCGTCGTCGCTGTGCCCAGCTATCAGCCAGCCAGCTAGCTTTGTTTGCTCTGCGCAGCGGACGACCCGCGTGCGTCGCTGGGACCCCTCCGGGGCGACCTGCGCGCGTCGCGGGGACTCCGCGCTGCGCTGCGCCCGCGGCCTTGGACTCTTGAGTGCGCGGGCAAAGAGGGGGTAAAAGAAGGGGAAGAAGCGGGCGCGATTCTCGCGGGGGGGCGCGCCGACATTGGCGTCGCGGCGCGCGGGCGATGCCGTCGGGGAGTCCCGGGGAAGCTCCTTGCGGCGGCCACGCCCAACGTCACGAGTACTAAGAGGCAGGCATTCTCAATTTATTGACATTCATATACAAGCACACCATGCTTTGTCATGATCGCATTCATGCACGTAGACTCGCTCGCACGCAGATTCATTCACAGTCAGACGCACTTGCGTTCAGATTCGCCCGCGCCCAGTCTCCTTACATACTCAGATCAATCGTTTTCGCTCACGTTGTGTACCACGCCTCTCATTTCGGCGCACCCCTTGCACGGTTCGTTGACTCATAGGGCTCACCACCGAAAAAGTGAATCACACTTGCGGTACTCACACCTGCATATGGTTGGGTCCTTCGTCAGGCGAATTTCAATTGAAGTGCCTCCCCCGGGGCTGGCACCTTGTTTTTGTATCAGGGAACGTCTCTCGGCTCAAACTGCTATGTTGGCCCCCGGATTACAACATTCACGGCTCCCGCTTGAGGCCCCGTCACAATTTAGCCAGGGCCCTTCTCCCGCTTGAAACCTTCTCGCACTTTACATACTAAAGAATCGCGCTCTCGGTTGGGAATTCCTCACAATCTATCCAGGAGTCGTTCCCTTGGCGCTCTGGAGTCGCGCTCTCGCTGGATAGTTCTCTGATAAGGGGGGAGGGCTTCCCCCCAAAAAACGAACAGCCGACACTTAAGTCGGGCGTGTCCCTGTACAGGAGGAACATTGACAAATAGTCAACACAGATTCTGGGGACGATTTTTTTGATTCTGTTTTAATATGTTTGAGCATGGTTTTACTAATTCTAACTGTTCTTGGAAGGCCCGCTGGTAGGAGGACGTGCCCGACCTCAGCCACCACCAAGGACCCAGGGTTCAGGAACTCTTTCTTCCCCCAGGGAAAATGAGCGCGGTGGTCTGAGCCCCCCCCCTCCGGCGGGAAAATGAATTGGAGGGGGCCCGACCCCCCCACTTTGGAAATCATGAGAAGTCACGGGGGCCCCCCCCGCCTGGCAACGACGACGAACGACGACGACAACGACGACGACGCACGACGCACAACGCACGACGCACGAGGCACGACGACAACGACCGACAACGACGACGACGACGACAGCGCCGACGCCGACGCCGACGCCGACGCCGACGCAGCCGACGACGCCACAGCCGCCGACGACGGCGACGACGACGACGAAGGCGTCGACGACGACGCACGACGCACGACGCACGGGCGACGCACGACGCACGACGACGACAAGGACGCCGAGCAGAGTAGAGTAGGCGTAGGGTACAGTATTATAGGAATAGAGTAGAGGGTTTAATGGAGTCGAGAACGAAAGGGTGGGATACGGTAGGGTAGAGGACAGTAGTGAAAAGTAGGGTAGAGTAGATAGGCGAGTGCATATCAGAGTAGAATAGAGCAGGAATCAAGTAGAGCACGGCAAATAGGTAGAGTGGCACAGACGTGAGTAGTAGAGTGAAGTAGTTTTGGAGTATATTGCAGTAAGGTGGAGTACGGTGTGACATATTAGGGTCGACCAGAGCGGAGTAGTTGAGAATCGAGCATAGCAGAGCACCTTAGAGAAGAGATACCATAAAGTAGAGGAATGACAACATGGAGTATACTAGAGAATGCTAGGATGGCGGTCGGGGAGAATAGAGTATGGCAAGCGCAATCTAGCAGAGAAGAGTAGATGCAGAGTCGAGCAAAACTGACTTGAGTAGAAAAGGGGTATATTAGAGTAGGGTGGGGCAAAGTAGAGTAAGAACAAAGTAATACGTAATAGAGTAGGAGTAGGAGTAGGAGTCAAGTCGAGTAGAATAGCGCAGGGTAGAGTAGAGTAGAGTAGGGTAGAGTAGCGTAGAAGCAGCATAGAGCAGAGTGGGAGTATAGTAGAGTAGAGTTGAGTCGAGTAGAGAAGAACTGATGGAGAAGAGTCGATTTGTAGATCGGAGCAGACATGATAGCAGAGTAGAGCTGGGGCGAGTGCAGGAGAGTAGGGGTACACTAGAGTAGAGTAGGGTCGCGTAGAGTAGATTCGAAGCAACGTCGAGTAGGGAAGGACATGCTGTGGTACGGTCGGGTGGAGCAGGGTGAAGTAGAGTATGGCAGAGTAGGGTAGAGCAGAGGAGGGTAGAGCAGAGCACACTAGAGACGAGGTAGAGTAAAGTAGAGGAGCGGCCAAGTACAGCAGAGTAGAGTGAATTAGGGTACGTTGGGGTAAAGCAGAGTAGGCTCGAGTAAAGTAGGGCAAACAGAGTCGAGCAGAAACGCTTCGATGAGGACAGCAGAGCGGAAGTATATTTGAGTAGGGTAGAGTGGACCAGAGTAGAGTAGAGCAGAGCAGAGTAGAGTAGGATAGAGTAGAGTCAATCGGGAGCATCGTATAATATAGTCGAGTGTGCTCGGGCGGTCGGTTATATTAGGGTAGAGTAGATTCGAGTAGGACAGAGCAGAGCATATTAGACTAGAGAGTATAATTGAGTATATCAGATTAGACTTAGGGAATCGTAGTGTAGAACAAAGTATGCAAGGGTACGGTAGGGCAGAGTAGAGTAGGGTGAAGCAGAGTCAAGTAGAGTAGAGTAGAGTAGAGTAGAGTAGAGTAGAGTAGAGTAGAGTAGAGTAGATACGAGTAGAGTAGATACGAGTAGAGGAAGGTAAGGAACGTCGAATATAATAAAGTAGGGTAGAGAACATCAGGGCCCAGGTAGGATGTTGAGAGAGCTGGATTGAACGCTAGGAGCATTCTATCAAAGCCGGCGCCTAGCGCGGGCGCTGGCGACGGGTGCGCCGCCGCCGCCGCTGATGTCATCGTCGTCATCGCCGTCGTCGCCGCGGGGGGGGGGGAGGAGGATTCCCCAATGATTTTGCAGGAGAGGGGGGTCTCTGAACCACCCCCCACTAATTCTTCCAGGGAGGCGGGGGTTTCCAGAGGGGGGGGGAGGAAGGATTTCCCCCCCCTTGGGCCCACGCATTGTTTCACGGGGGGGAGGAGGGGGATTCGGGACCTCCTCTTTTAATTTTCCGAGTGGGGGTGGGGGGTCCGACCCCCCCCCCTTCCACTAAATTTCCGAGGGTGGTGGGGGTGGTCCGGATTCCCTTGGTTTTTTCGGAGGGGGCGACGATAAAGCCCCCCCTGGTTTCTGACCCCCCACCTGCCCCCTTCGGGAGTTTTGTTGCGGCGGCGGGGGGGGGGGAGCGCCCCTCTGGTTTCTGACCCTCCCGTTGGAGAACTTTTCCAGGCCAGCGACGAGGTGATCGCTCTTCCTCGGGTGTTTCCGAGCTCTTTTTTGATGGAGGCGGCGGGGGGTGAGAGGTGACGGGGAGGGGGGAGGTGGACAAGAGATGAGGGGGGGAGGGGGGAGGGGGGCGAAAATGGGGTTGACCTGCAAGGGAATGAAGACGGCGACGACAAGGACGAAGACAGATAACAAACAATGCGACGACGAGGGCGAGCAAAGAGAAATGGATCGGGGGAGGGGCGACGGGTCGCGACGTGAGGAAGGGCTCAAGAGGGGGATGACAGGGATGCGGGGGTCGTGAAGGGGCAGGAGAAGGGAGGACGAGGGATGATGATGATGGTGGTGATGATGATGATGATGGTGATGGTGATGGTGATGATGATGATGATGATGATGATGATGATGATGATGATGATGGTGGTGGTGATGATGATGATGATGATGATGATGATGATGATGATGATGATGATGATGGAGCTGATGATTATGAGGAGGATGAAGAGGTGCCGCAGCGAGGTCGGGAGCACGTGCGTGACAGGGAATATATTGAAGATGACAAGGAGCAGCGACAATACGAGCAGGACGGGCAGCAGGAGAAGGAGAAGTTGAATGATAGTAACAACAATAATAATAAGACACTGTGCACAAACGGGAGGGCGAGGGCGACCAGCAGCATCGTCAGCATCATCAGCAGCAGCCAGATCAGGACGGGGAACAAGAGCAGGGATGAACCGGCGCGCTTTGAGGAGGGAGATGGGTGAGGACGGGGAGGATTGGGTGAGGCGCAACACATGGAAACGCAGAGATACAAAGGGGGAGAGGGAGGAGGAGGACGAGGAGGAGGAGGAGGAGGACGAGGAGGAGGAGGAGGAGGAAAAGGAGGAGGAGGAGGAGAAGGAGGAGGAAGAGGAGGAGGAGGAACATGTATTGGATACGTAGTGGGCTGAGATGCGAGATGCTCGTGGGAGGGACAGAGAGTGAACTGAGGGTGGACGTCGAGGAAGAAAGGGGCACGAGGAGGAGCACAGGAAGGAGTCATGGGATGATTATGCGGAGGAGGGGAAAAGGGAAGAAGACGAGTGGTGAGAAGTAGAGAGCGCTGGACACATGGTAATGAGTGCTCTTGCGCGGGAGACACACAGCCATGGCCTTGCGATATGACATCCGCGGTCGCGATCCTGTGAATAAAGGGCGGCCTTGCAAATATTCCGCGCGCAAGCTGGTCCCATTGGACCGCATATCCACAGGATAGCGCCTCGGTGCCCAGATTGTGAGGGCCTGGATATGGGTATGTGAGGTGTGACCTGTTCAAGAAGTATCCCTATCCCCCCCGCCCCCCATCCGGGCCAGCAGTTTTGTGCCCGGGACGATGTTCGACAGTCCTGGGGCACGAAGGCTCGTCCAGACAGCACTCACATCGAGCTGTTCTCCCCGATGTGCTCGTCGCCCCGCCCGTGGTGCCCCGAGGTTGGGTGCACTGGCAGCAGGCCCACCACGGCCGACACGGTCAAGGCGCTCACCAGGGTGGACCCGTCGAGCCTGTTCGGCGCCCTCAACCTCCAGGAGCGGAGCCCCCCGCGGATGGACCACGGCATGCGTGCCCGGCGGGGGAGCGACGCGCCATGGCGTCCTGTCGCGCGCGCGTGCGGCACCTTCGCGGGAGGACCAGGACGATGACGAGGACGAGGACGAGGAGGAGGACAATGAGGAGGAAGGGGAGGAGGAGGAGGAAGGAGGAGGAGGAAGAGGAGGAGTCGGAGGAGAGGAGGGAGGAGGTGGAAGAGGAGGAGGAGGAGGAGAACGAGGACGTGCGGTACCAGCACGGGAGCATGAGAAAGAGAACGAGGACGAGGAGGAGGAGGGGGGGCAGGGGGGATGAGGACGGGAAAAAGGGGGAGAGGAGGATGGGGAGCAGGAGCAGGAGCAGGGGGAGGAAGAACCGTGAGGGAGGGGGAGGAAGAGGAGGTAAGACAAGACAAGACATGCAGGGCGGGAGAGGGGGGAGAAGGAGGGGATGGAGAAGGAGAACTGAGAGGAGGGGGGGATGAGGACTTGAAGTACGGCCCCTGGGCCGTGCTCTGTGCTGTCCCGGCGGAGGCCAGATGGTGTCGGAGGCTTCCGCCTTGGTGTTTGGGTCCCTCTCGAAGTTCGAGGATCCGAGGCTCTCGGACGCGGTCGGCCCTTTGTCCTTCGTCGGTGCCCCCGCAGTCGGGCGATCGCAAACATGGATTAAGGGGTGCGTGGATTAGCGACGGACCCCGCTTCCTCGGGAACTCGCGGATCTCCGCCGCCGAGCGAGGCGCGGCACCGGCCGCAAACTTGGGGAGGGCGCCTCCCCCGATCCATGGATGTGGCGGCCGCGCGGCAAGTCCACGGACAGCACATCCAATGTTGGCGCGCCCCCGACACGGGCCTCTCGGCGCGAAGCGCCTGCGGCGCCCGCGCCGCGGGGCGGCGGGGAGGCACCTCGCACGCGGGCCTGAATAAGAAGACGTTTCATAATAAAGATAACAGCCAGACTAAAAATAACAAATTCAATACTAAGAATACGAATGATACTACTACTACGACTACGACTACGACTACTACTACTACTACTACTACTACCACTACTACTACCACCACTACTACTACTACTACTACTACTACTACTACTACTACTACTACTACTACTACTACTACTACTACTACTACTACTACTACTACTACTACTACTACTACTACTACTACTACTACTACTACGCTACTACTACTACTACTACGACTACGACTACGACTACTACGACTACGACTACGACTACGACTACGACTACGACTACGACTACGACTACGACTACGACTACGACTACTACTACTACTACTACTACTACTACTACTACTACTACTACTACTACTACTACTACTACTACTACTACTACTACTACTACGACTACTACGACTACGACTACGACTACGACTACGACTACGACTACGACTACGACTACGACTACGACTACGACTACGACTACGACTACGACTACGACTACGACTACGACTACGACTACGACTACGACTACGACTACGACTACGACTACGACTACGACTACGACTACGACTACGACTACGACTACGACTACGACTACGACTACGACTACGACTACTACTACTACTACTACTACTACTACTACTACTACTACTAATCATAATCATAATCATAATAATAATATCAGTAATAATAATAATGCTAATACTGCTAATAATAATAACAATGATAATACTCAGCCTACTGGAGGACCTCAGGGCAGGGCTCGCCTCGATTCCTGCGGCCCGAGTCGATCCGATGTCGATCGACTCCGAGGTCGCCTCGCTTCGGCCTCGGACCCCGAGTCGGATATATGCCCGGTGTCCTCCGCGGAGGCCTGGCTGGCCTGCCGATCTTTCCGCGGAGACGACCTCTTCCGACTTGGCTGCCGGTGTCTCAGGAGGGAAACAAGCACACAGACACACTTCATCGCCGAAGCCCGAGAAAATATGGGGAAATATGGGAAGTGGGGGGGACGATAAAAACCCAGGAAACCCAGGAAGTGGGGGGGGGACGATTTTCGCGGATACGATTTCTTTCGATTTGGCTGCCGGTGTCTCGGGAGGGAGAAAACACACAGACACAATTCATCGCCGATTCCCGAGAAAATATGGGAAACTATGGGAAGGGGGGGGGGGGAAGACATAGACCCAGGAAATATTGGCAACAATACGGGACGGACTCCATGATTTGTGTCTATGTATTTGCGTGTCCCAGGGCCCCTCCAGTTTCCGCCGACCCGATTATCTTCGATCGCTTAGCCGACATCGATTCGATGCTGGGCTCTCCTGCCAGATCCCGTCGTGCCGTGACGAACTCACGGCGTATGTTTTTGGTTTGGCAGTGGTCGGCCTGCCCAGGTCCCTCAAGCATGATTACAGTGACGTAAAAACATCAGGAGGGACAAAACAAACACAAACACAGACACAATTAATCGTCGATTCCCCCGAACAGATTGGAACATACAGGAAGTGTGGGGGAAGACGAGCACCCAGACAAGATGTAAAAATATGGGGAATCCTGTTATTTGTGTGTATTTGTTTGTGTCTCGCAGGGCCCCTTTTCAAACAATCATAACAAAGGTATCCAGACCTGTTGGGGTCCACGCCTTATAATAACACGAAACATATTCATATGTGACACTGTAACAGCCTCTGGCATCTGGGGATGTAGATCTCGGGTGGGGTCGGGAGTCGAGGATCGCGGTTTCTTGTTACGTCTGCCCTTGCTTGGACATCCAGGGGCCTCAGGGTTCCTCCAGAGCCCTGTGCAAGGCACCTCCAGGGACCTCTGGAGATTCCCCAGGTCCCCGCCTCATGGAAGCTCTCAGAGCCTCCTCGGGTGTCTCCATGGCCACGCCTGGTTCTGCATCGCAAGTCTGCCCAGAACGCGACCCAGGAGAGGCCCGCGGATCCGCGGAGCAATTTTTTGACAGCGGCGGCCAGACCTCCAGCGGATGGAACACGTCGCGACGTCCAGGCCTTCCAAGTTTGAGCTTGTGGGCGCCCTGCCCAGGCCACGGCAGCTGGAGGCCATGACCCACGGCGCGCAAGCCAACCCGTGGCGCAACCAACAGCAGGCCGTTGTAAGTTTCGGTGGCAGGGGCCGCAACACATAGTGCAACCTATTGCGATACCAGGCGAACTCTGCGGCACAACCTGCGGCACACCGTTGAGCGTAACCAACGGCGCAGCCCGTAGGGCAGCCCATGGCCCAACCCACGGTTCAACCACGGGATCAACCGATGGAAGTGGCAAGCCATGGGAAAACTCAGGGCGCGACGCATGGCGCTGCCTACGGATGGCACAACCAATGGCGAAACCAAGGGATGGGGCCACACAAGGCGCAACCAATGGTGGAACCTGTGGCGCAGGCCATGGCGCAACATATGGCACACTATATCTCGCATCGCGCAACACATAACACCACCTATGGCGCACCCAGCGGGTGTCGCAGCCCATGGTACAACCTATGGCGCAACCACTGGGTCAGCCCATGGATGGGGAAAGCTGTGGCACAACCAATGGCTCAACTGCGTGCTACGTTTTGCGCAGCATATGGCGCAACGCATGGATTGGCGTAAGCCGTGGCGCATGCCATGGCGAAAGTTCTGGCGCAGTCCGTGGCGCAACCCAGGGCGCCGCCTACACTGCAACCTATGGCGCAACCCATGCCGCAGCTCATGCCGCATCCCCTTTGGCACAACCTATGGCGCAGCCCATGCCGCAGCCCATGGCGCAACCTATGGCGCAACCTATGGGGCAACCCATGGCGAAACCATTGGCGCACCTCTTGCGCGGCTTTCGGCCCAGATCGATTTGTCCGAGGTCTGAGAAGGACCTCGGCTGCAGGTTCCGAAGGGCCCGTGCGAGGTTCACGACCCCGCTGAGAAAGGTGTGGTGCCTGGGGGTGATGGCGCCAACATCGCAGAGCGGATTTCGCTTGGAAAACAATGGGATGGGCCCGGATTGTCCTGGAGAATTTCGGTCTGGTTTTCGAAGTGGATTTCGTGCGGATGTTTTGGGCCAGGAATGTCAAGATTCCAAAAACAAATCCACGTGATATTCACTTCGTTATTCGCTCGCCGTTCCGGTGTTCCGGATTGGCGGAAATACGCGCAAAGATCCGCTGCGACACGTCGGCAAGGTCCGCGCAGCAACGGGGGGTTCACGCAGGCTCTGCTTTCCTCGGGACGCCAGCTTTGAGGCGGGCAGTGGGCACGTTGCGCGCTGCCTTGCCGCCGCCCTGCCTGCCCGTTCTAACACATAGGACATTCTGCCGGGCATGTCCCTGTACATGAGGAGTATTCAAACACAGTCAAGAAATAGTCCGGGGGACGATTTGTTTGAATTTTTTTTTGGATCTGTTTGAATATGTGTTGAATATTGTTTTATTTGTCCTCCTAGATGCGCCCGTAGGGGGGCACGCCCGACCACAGAATCTAACTCAGGAGGGCGGCGCCGCGACGGAGTGGCAGGAGGTCCCCGAGCACCTGCTGCAGGCCCGAGCGGCCGGGCGTGGAGGGCGGCGGCCGCCTGGGTCGGGGGCCGCCTGGGTGGACAGAACCCCCAGCAGTGACACGCCGATTAGTGAATTGTCCGTTTTCGGTTCTCGAGAGGGCGCCGTGGCCGTCATTTTCCAGGCTTGCGCCCGCCAGGTTTGGGCCTCAGGTCGTTTTCACCAAACCACGTTTTACTGAAGGGGGGTCTGCCCATCCCCGAAAAGAGGGGGGGTGACTGGGGAGGGGGGAGCTCATGGCGTGGGCTTATGATGCTCCAACCTTTTTTTGTCCTTGATCACCAGGAAGGATTTCGAGCGCCAGAAAAAGTACCGAGACTCGAGGGTTTGCACGTGTCGGGCCCTGGGAGACACTCGCCCGACACTGTTTCGATACTGCTTCGACCCTCTTTTGACACTTTTTCGGGTGCTCGAAATTCTTTCTGGGAGGCGGTCCTTAAGTCGGATGGGGACAACATAAGCGTGGGCCATGATATCTCCTCAGATTTCATGGCGCCTCTTCTTATTTCATGATGTCCCTGCCCCCCCCCCTTGGGCCGCGCACGTGCCGCCGGCCACGATTTGCGCCCCCCCCTCTTGGACGCCCCCCGCGTGGCCGTCCCCGACTGGGGGCGGAGGGCCAGGCCCTCCCTCGGGGGAGGGAGCACGATGGCCTCGGCCGAGGTGTCGCGGGACCTTGCCGACGCTGGCCTTGGCTGGCTCCACGAGCTGACGATGGCCAAGGTGGACGATGGCCTGGCTCGACACCGACGCTTCCGCGTTCAGCAGGGCACACGCGGGGGCGCGACGGTGGTCGTGCTTCGCGCGTCGCGGTCCGGACCAGAGCGGCTGCCTGTCTCCACGGGGCCGGCGCGAGGGCGGGAAGATGATCGCGCGTCGGGCCTCGCGGGGCGCGATGCGCAAAATCAGGCGACCCAGGCTCACAGTCTGGGTCATGGTCATCGCTTTCAGTCCCTCCAGTCCCCCTTACCCTCCGGGGCCCCGCGGAAGGGCCGGCGGAAGAGGGCCGGCGGAAGGAAAAGTTGCCCCCCCCCCCCCCCACCCCACCCCACCCCACCTCGAGAGATGCCATGCATGGGGGCAAGGAGCCATTCTGAAGCGAGGTGAGCCCCATCGAGGCGTGGAGGGTGGACCCCCGCTGACCGCTCGGCGGCTGCACGGAGCGGTCGGAGGAGACAGGGCTTTCCCTGGATACCAGGGGCAGGTTTCACGGCCGCCCTCGATGCGTTCCACCTGCTCCCATTTCTTTCATCCCGCTGCCCGAAAAACGTCCCCAAGAAGCCGCAAGCGACGGAAGACGTCGGCCTCGATCTGTTCCTCGCTCCCAGGGGAGGAGCGGCGACGACGACGAAGACGGCGACGACAGGCGACGGCGACAACGACCACGCTGCCGAGGCGCCCCCCTCGGGGCTCAAGAACATCGAGTCCTGCTGCAGGCGCAGGGGGCGGCTGTTCCCTCCCCCTCACTCTCCTGATGACCTCCTCCTCCCTCCTTCCTCCCTCCCTCCTCCCTCGCCGTGATCCATCCGTGCCCCGATGCGGATCGTGAGCGCGTCTGGTCTCCGCCGTCGTCGTCGGCGTCGTGGTCGCGTGGTGCGCTGCTCCTGGAATGTTTCCCTGATGCAGTGACCTTAGTGGGCCCTGGAAACGACAGGGCCGTTTTTGTTACCGGTTCCGTTTTGCCGTTTTCTTGCCGGTTCCGACGCCGGTTTTCTTACCGGTTCCGTCGCCGTTGTTTTACCGGTTCTGGCTCCGGTTCCAATCCTGGAGCCGTTTTTTTGCCGTTTCCATTTTTTCTGGAAGCGGTGAAAAAACGGCTCTGCCATTTCCGGGGTCCCTGCCCCTGACGACCCGATCGGCCTGGGAGAGCTTTTGGGGCCTCGACGCCTGCCGCCCCCGCTCGGCCTCCCACCTCCCTGTCGCCACCGCCAGACTTGGCTGCCCCCACACCGCGTGCCTGCCCGCCCGGTCCCCCCGCCCCTGTCGGTTCAATTGATCGATTCTGTCCACGTCGCCCCCTCCTCCTCCTCCTCCTCCTTCTCCTTCTCCTCCTCCTCCTCCTCCTCCTCCTCGTCGTCCTCCTCCTCCTCCTCCTCCTTCCTATTCCTCCTCCTCCTCCTTCTCCTCGTCCTCCTCCTTCTCCTCTTCCTCCTCCTCCTTCCCTTCCTCCTCCTCCTTCTCCTCCTCCTCCTCCTCCTCCTCCTCCTCCTCCTCCTCTCCCTCCTTCTTTTTCCCCCCCTCCCCCTCCGTCTCCCCCGCACCTGAGCATGGAATTCCTGGGAGGTTGAAAATTCAGCATCTGCGCGCTAGGAAGTCCGTGGTCGACTGCCGGCCCAACCCGGCATGTAATCCCGTCGAATCTGGGGTCATCTGGCTTCACACTGGGCCCAGTCTGAGCTGGTCCGGCTGGATGGCCTCCTTTTAATCTGGCCTACAGGGGCCCGGAACCTCCTTCTGCCCAAGACCTCCCCGCAGCTGCCCCCGATTGTGACGTACCTTGGCGCGGCGTGGGTATCCAGAGCGCCGCCTCCCGTCGGCTGCCTTTCCGCGTCCTGCTGTGGGCGCCCCCGGCTGGCCCCTCTCTGGCCTTTCTGCGGCAGCCGTGGGCCGTCGCCGCCGGCGTGCCCCCCTGGGGCCCGGCTCTCCTGCGGCAGGACTGCAGCCGGGCCCCAGAGCGCGGCAGAGTGTCGGCGGAGGAACGGGTGCGGCAGGCTCGCGTCGTGTCGACCGGCGGCGACCCCGCCGCAGGCGCTCGACGCTGAACGCCGCCAGCGACCCGGCATCCGTCGATGTCGAACGATGTGACGTTTCGATGGAGGCGCCCGATCGTTCAAGGTCGAGCGAGCCCCGCGGTGGCAGGAGCCAATGCCGGTGTCGACATGACACGAGCCCGCGGCAGCGACCACGCTGCTCGTCCTCGAGAGCCACGGCTGGATCCTGCTCGAAGGCCTGGTCACAGCGCGCCCCCGGAGAGGTCCGGGGAGCAAAGGCCTCCCTACAGTGGAGACCCATGCCAGGAACCGCCCTGCTTGCCTCCTGGGTTCTGATGTTCCAACCTACTTTGGCCTTCATCACCAGGAAGAACTTCGAGCACCCCAAACAGCACCGAACTTCGAGGGTTTGCACGTGTCGGGCGCTGGGAGACACTCGCCCGACACGGTTTCGGTATTGTTTCGACACTCTTTTGACACTTTTCCGGGTGCTCGAAATTATGTTCTGGGATGCGGTCCTTACGTAGGATGGGAACAACATAACTCCAGGGTGCCCTGGACTTCTTGGGTTTCGATGGCTTTGCTGTGGACGGCGCGATATTCGAACCCGTACTGCACCTGGTGGTTGCCCCCAGTGTGGTGCACCCACGCTGCGCCGTGCTGCTCTGGGCTGCCGCCGCGCGCCCGACCGTCCGCCGTTCTGCTCGTCCCCCTCCCCCCTCTCACCGGCGCCGCCGCGCCCCCCTCGTCGTGCCCGAGGGGCTTCCCTCGCGCTTGTAAGAATGAATGTTGGGCGGACGAAGAATGACATAAACATAAGATCTCGGAGGTCCGCGCGGATTTCTCGGATCAGCGCTGGGGCCCCCCTGGCGGCGCCTCTGGCGCCGCCCCTGGTGCGCTCCGCGCGCCAGAGAGGGGGGTTTCAGCGCCGATCCGAGAAATCCGTGCAGACCTCCAAGTTTTATGTTTATGTCATTCTTCGTTCCCCTGAATGTATCGTGCGCCCCCTCGCGACGAGCGCGACCCCTGCGGCGGCGGCGACGTGCGAGGTGCACCCCGCTTGGCCTGGTGCGTCTCCCGCCGCGGTCGGGGCCCCGCGCGGTGACGCCTTTCGTGGAGCCGCACTCCGTGGCGTCCTCGTCTGCTGGCTTGTGTCCGATGGCGACGCCCTTGTCGCAGCCCAGTCGGGAGAGGAAACAGCGGGACGACCCGAGTGATGATGACCCCTGTCGCAGCTGATGAAAAGGCCCCAGGAAGTGGCGCGTTTGGGGAGGCGATGCCCGCGGCGGACCCCCAGATCTGGTGCTTCCGCGATCGCCTCGAGTCGCAGGCAGAACCCTGCTGAGCCCAGACTGTAGTGCCGCCTCCCTGCGCTCCTGGGAGGTTCGAGTCAGCATCGGCGCTGGTATACTCGCTGCTGCAGTTTATCTCACTCTGGCCTCATACCTCTTTACCCAGTCTCAATCTGGATCAACTAATCAACTATCGGCTTCATCCGACCCAGTCCAATTCAATGGCACCTAGATCGGTCTTCGTAGTTATTGATCGTCCTTACGAATTTATCATAGCAGCTGCCTCCAAACTTCTCCAAGCCAGCCGCTGCGGGCCTTTAACGTAGTTGAGCAGACTCCGATCGCCCAACTTCTTCTCATCCTGCGAGGCCCCGTGGTCCGTCGGTTCTTGGTACCGGACCAATCACTGCTCTCGACCCCGTCCGTTTGACTCGGGTTCCCCTGGCTCTGCCCGCGTTTTTCACGGACGTCGCCTCCGTCCTTTCGAGAGACACCCAGCGAATTCTTCCATTGGAGAGGCATTGCCATGGCGCCTAACAGATAGCAGATGGGACGATCATGAGCGATCATTCCGCGGTGGTGTTGATCAGAGCTGCGAACATCCGAAGTCGGCGTGTCTTTGGCACTGCACCTGCGCCTCGTCCTCGGGATGCGTCTGCGCACACTCCCTTGCCGCATTACCTCGTTGACGGGAATATTCCCTCAGTGGCCGCTTTCCAGCTCTGCGTGTGATGATGTCGTTTCTGTCGCCCAGCTCACCCCCAAACCCAAACCTGTGCTGGCACGGCTGACGGCCCTCCTGGAGCGATATTTGGCCCAGCTGTGGCAGAGGCATCGTCTGCCTTCGTTTGGCAGACGTCGTCTCTGCTCGAGTGCGCCCATCCTTCAGGCTCGCACCACTGCCCGCCCCACCCGAAGCCAAAGCCACCCCGAAGGCCCGAAGGCTGCAGTGCCCAGTGCTTTTCGGCGGCCCGTCCGATGTCGGTGAGATCATCCACCCTGAGGGGAAGCAGCTGCGCCCTTTTGCTCCAGGCCCACTCGCAGATGCTGCCACCTCGCCCCATCACGATGCCCCGGCCTGGCCCTGCGCTGCGGTCACGCGTGCGACGCAGCCAGCTCCTCCTATTCCTCCTCCTCCTCCTCCTCCTTCTCCTCCTCCTCTTCCTCCTGCTCCTCCTCCTCTCCTCATTCTTCTCGTCCTCCTCCTCCTCCTCCTCGTCCACCTCCTCCTCCTTCTCCTCCTTCTCCTCCTCCTCCTCCTCCCCCTCCCCCTCCATATTCGGGCCGAAGGCTCAGATGGACCACGGCTCCGCACCTCGGGCCGTCCAGGCCTCGTGGAAGCGGCCCCAGCTCTCCGAGCCGAGTCTGACACTCGCGCAACTCTCTCGTTCTCTGCGCCTCGCAGCGGCCTTCGGGGACGTGACGACCTCTCGCGGGGTCGTCAAGCGCCTGGCGCCGAGGGGCACCCGAAAGGGTGGGACGACGTGTGGACTTCTCCACGCGCGTCTTCTCTGGTGCGCGTTCTCTCGCACGCCCCGCCTCTCTCTCCCCTCTCTCTCGGGGAGGGGCTGTGGAAAACCCCGACCGCCCGCTCGCCCTGCAGATGCTGCTCCTTCCCCTCCCGCCGTCCTCCTCCGCCCCCTCCTCCCACTCCCCCCCTTCCGCGCGCGAGAAGGAGGAGGCTCAATGGAGGAGGAGGAGCAGCAGCAGCAGCAGCAGCAGCAGCATCAGCCTCGGCAGAGGGGAGGAGAAGGTGGTGGAGTGGAAGGGAGGACCAGGAGCAGGAGGAGTAGCAGGAGAAACGCTTCATTCGAGCAAGCGAGGACATGGAGGAAAGCGCGTGGATCAGCGACGAGTCCCGTTTTCATGCGAAATCAGCGCGCTCCGTCGCCAAATCAGGCAGCATTGGTGTCATGATTCGATCCGTGTCAGCGTCCGAGAGGAGGTCGAGGTGGAGGAGGAGACGGATGAGGAGGGGGAGGAGGGGGAGGATGGGGGGAAGGAGGAGGAGGAGGAGGAGGAGGAGAGGAGGAGGAGGAGGAGGAGGAGGAGGCGAGGAGCAGGAGGGGGAGGAGGAGGAGGAGGAGGAGGAGGAGGAGGAGAGAAGGAGGAGGAGGAGGAGGAGGAGGAGGAGGAGGA